TCATTGTAAAATATATTGGCCACAATAATCATGGAGTGAAAAAATCTGATATCATGACAGCTTCTCCCACCATAATAAAGTATTTGCCTGACTCTCACTTTGTGTATTTTAATATGACTGTGCAAATCCTGCAGTCTAATAACCTGCCTGACAATCTGTTACTAGAAGAAAAAAATCCCATATCAAAAACAGTGTCCTTTTTTACACACAGCACAACAGTTCACTGGACACACTATATGTGTCAAAGCGCTGTTTCAAAGAGACTCAGATATGGAGAAAATGAATCATTAATATCACACTCAGACGACCTTTCACACAACCTTTGTAGTCTGGCCCATGAAGGAAGAACCGGCTCTTTGGTTTTGCACACGCTGAGGCTGAATTTGTAAAATCTCCAAAAATGAGGAGGATCGTCCCACGGGAGAGTCTGAGAAGGTACACGGCGCTCGGTCCCGTCATATCTTTGGCCTTGAGTGACATGTGATAGCTGGTGAGTAGAGGTGACTTCACAGCTCTGTAGCGTACACACTGTTGTCGTCTCCAGCTGCTAATTGTTTAAGGTTGAGCTTCAGCCCGTGTCCTTGCTTTAAAAAGCTTGTCCAGATCTGCTGACCTTTAGGATTCTGCTGATCATCGTCCTGGTCAAACACGTTGAATATTTTATGACCAGGCAATGTCGAAAACACAAGTGGTGTTTGCTGCACTACTAACCCTCCTCCGTTTTTGTCCGCTGAAGCTCAGTTTGTTCTCTCTGCTGTCTGTTGGATGCAGAATGTGGTGTCGAAGAGCGCCCTTCAGTTCAAGGGGAACTCTCAGCACGACGCCCAGGAATTCCTCCTCTGGTTGCTCGACAGGGTTCACGAAGACCTCAACCAAATCGTCCACCCAGACATCAGACCTCCCAGGAAGGTAAACGGCACTTTAGATCACATGTTAGAGCTGTGTGGCAGGGGAACCTATACCTAGTTATATGGCAGTATAATCAACATTTATGAACATTCTTTATGTTTTAAATTGAATGTTACAGGATTGTAAACTGTACTTCTGGTGATTGTTATTTACCATGCAGTTAAAGACAAATAATTGTTTTGCGTCTGTTTTTGTTTTTCCAGCCTCCAGTAGAAGAAGAAACGGTCCCTGAAGGATCTCCACTACCAGCACCTGGCTCTTTTGTACAGGAGCTGTTTCAGGCACAATACAGGTGAGATTATCAGCTGATGGTAGTTACACAACAGACTCATCTGCTTAACACTGCAACAAATTATACCTTCTGTTAAGACTGTTGTGTGTCACATGACCTGGAGACTGAACTTTGGTTTTGTGACACTGATCACAAGTCGATACTTCAGTGAAATAAATTAGGATATTTATCATGAGTAATAAGCAGAATAAAACACCTCTCAAACTAATGAGACAATAAACATAAATAATACAACACTGAGTCTGACTGATGGTTGACCTTTGGGGCTGATACAGATATTCATTTTTCAACCAATATTCTTTATTTTTATGTTACATGAGTTACACTGAAAAGGGAAAACGATTGGGATCATTGTTCATTAACTTTCCAGCAATGCATCTCTCAAACTAGTTGCAACTTATCGTGAAAACGCTGCCTGACTCCGCACCACCGTCTGCTCAGCTACAACATCTACTCTGCTACATGTGCTGCAGACAGTAGTGAGACGACTGTAAACAATGCAGTCTGCTGGACAAATTATGTTATGACACCAGGGATGTTAATGATTAACCATTCATCAAATAATTGCTGTTAATCATTTTACTGAATATAAATTAAAATAAATAATGAGGCAGAAGACAACATGCATGTCAGATAATGTGTTGTAGGTTAGCTGTAGCGTCTGGCTGTGCGACCAGCTGGAATCTCATCTTACTTTGAAGGAATCCTGTAGTTTGTGTTTAAAGTTGTGCTACCATAAAAGGCTGTCGCTTGGACTATGTGCAATTTGTGTTGGGAAGAGCGTTGTGGGGGTTTAGCTTGCAACCGACCACCATGACGAAGGCTTCTGTGACTGATGATGGCTTCTGGGTAGAGCGTTGGTTCTAAAGATGAACTACGAGTGTCCTGGAATCCAGAAGTTGACTAAATCACATTTATGGCAAATGTTAGGTGTTTGTGATTCATCAGTATATGGTAAAATGTCTGTTGTACTTCATTCCTTTTAACTGATAGCTGGTTATTGATTGATAATGCGGTCGACTACTGGTTAAGAGAATTGTTCAAAATTTGCACTGCCATTTCTAAATCACATAAAGCATCTTTTTATGCCTAAAACAAAGATATATGACTTGGTTAATAAAGCTGTGTAACCCATTTATCAGTCAGGCTTTAATCTGCACCTAGTTTACAAGAGTTTATGTACCTGATTACTTCTTGGCTGGGAGCAGTGACCTCCTGGAGTTTTATTGACACAGCAAAACAACAGTAACCCCATTAAAGCTACAACTTGTTTTCTGCTGGAGTTTTTGTTTTAAATCAACACATGATTGAAGACTATAAGAAGTTAATTATGGAGGCTTGCAGGTGCTGGCTGACTGATTTTGTAACCCCTTTGACAGGCTTTTCCATTTCCAGTCTTCATGGTTAACTGAGCTAACTGTCTGTGTCTTTAAAATAACACACCAGCGACATTTCCGCTGCATTCAATCATTCTCCTCGTGTCTCTGTTCAGGTCCTCCCTGACTTGCCCTCACTGCCAGAAACAGAGCAACACCTTTGATCCTTTCCTCTGCATCTCACTGCCAATCCCGGTACCTCACACACGGTAAGGTGACTCTGCATCTAGTTTACAAGTAAGACAATAGCTATCAGACCAAAAAAAAAAAAAGTTCCTGTATCCAAAAATGCCACGAGACAAGATCCAGTCTGAACCCAGCCTTAAAAGGACTGTCAAGTCCAGCACAGACAAACACTGTGAAAGATGTGACAGGGGAAAGCTAAAATTAGAAGATGCCGTCTATCTTTGAAACATCAGTCCAGTCATAGTTGTGAAGGAGAAATTACTTTCCTCTCTGTGGTGAAGCTTCTAGAGATGAACTTTTACCCTTAACTCCTCTCTTGACCTCCCCAAGTAAAGGTCGTATCTGTAGCAGATGTGTACCAATCTGGAAAATCTTCTATAGATTCTTGACCTCATGTAGGAGGATAGGCAAACACTCCCTGTGCGAGAGAATCCTCAGAACTGATGCTGGCATTGCTTGCGTGAACTGCTGCTCTGTTGGTGTCACTTCCTGAATTCAGTAAACTTTATTTTCACCTAAGTCATCTGAGTGTGTCTCTCTGTGTTGGGTTCCCCATCCTCCTTCAACCTCTTCAAGAATTCCACAACAGTAGTTATTAAACAGCCAATTAATCTGAGTGTGTTTGTGTTGCAGGCCCCTGTATGTGACAGTGGTGTACCAAGGAAAGTGCTCCCACTGTATGAGAGTCGGGGTGGCGGTGCCTCTGTCTGGCACCGTGTCCAGGTTGAGACAAGCTGTGGCCCAAGAGACCAAAATCCCTGCCCAACAGGTGCTGCCTCAGATAAAAGTTCCCTTTTTAAGAGCGTTAATGTATCAAAATTAAGAGGATTAGAGATGTTTGGTGCTACTTTAGGAAAACCAGATGGTGAAGAATCCAGCAGAGAGTTTGGTGGTTTTACTTCTTGTGGTATTTGCTGGATTTTGTGCTCAAACAAATTAATGAAACGGCTCTGTGTTTTCGTTCCCTTTTTCTCCTCAGATTGTCCTCACTGAAATGTACTACGACGGCTTTCATCGCTCCTTCTGCGACGACGACGACGACCTTGAGATCATCCAGGAGAGCGACTCCATCTTTGCCTTTGAGACACCTGAGCTATTCAGACCGGAGCAGATCCGCTCCAAGCGAGGCGGTACGACATCCTGTTTATCCCCCTGAAATTACTTCAGCTCTTTGTCTTGTTACGGCAGAAGGAGTTCAGATTAGACTAGACACGGACTAGTATTGGGGTGAAAAGCTTTTTTTTCCAGGAAGCTGCTGCACACACAGATCAGCGTGTTGGATTGATTTTTAAAGTAATTTTCCTTTTGGTAATTTTCATTTCAGGAAGCCCGCATGCAAATCTCAATCAGAACAACTTGAAGTATGGCACAGATAATAATAGGATATCCACGCAAATACAAGAGCCTACAACGCCGCCTCAGAGTCCTAACAAGAACAGTGGGCAGGCTGAGAAGATCGTCCTGCTGGTGTGCAACAGAGCCTGCGCTGGACAGCAGGGACGCAGGTACGTTAACGGACAACAACTTCTAAGAATTTCAATCGTTAACCTACAAATGTTTTTAAAAAATCATGCTGTTTTGTACTTCTACAGGTTTGGCAATCCATTTATTCTGTATTTGGAGCGCACAGTGACGTGGGATATTCTGCAGAAAGAGATCCTGGAGAAGATGAAGCATCTTTTGCGCCCTGGAGTCTTTGTTCAGGTAAATATTTTTAACATACAGCTTTCCATCTGATTTTTCTGTTACTTACACTTATGTGGACTATATTGTCTTATCCTTGATGGTGTGCAGGTGGGGCCCTTCACTTTGCGAGTGGTAGGAGTGGTCGGGATCACATATCTCTTGCCTCAGGAGGAGCAGCCGCTCTGCCACCCCTCCGTGGAGAGGTAATGTCACGTCTCACCACGTGGAGGCAGCGTTGTCCCATTTAAATGACATAAATCTTGCAGCGCGTTCAATTCACTTGAAGCTGATTGAAAAGCTACAGTATGTCTTCAGTGGTATTGATGTTAAAATATCTCCTGAGATGTGTAATAGCTTTTCAGTTTTTTATGGATTTTTCTTTTAAGAAAGTGTTGACCTCTGGGGTTGCTGCATGGATTTTTTTTTTTCAAATAAAAAGAATGAGGGGAAAAAAACGACATTTGTTCCACTGCTGCTACACGATTAGACAAACGAGAATTGAGAAACTCGAGTGAAGGTTTGACACAATATAGAGCTTTTTTTTGTTTTAGCTTGCCAAAACTTTAAATTAGTTTACCAAAACTTAAAATTTCCAGTCGCGTTTACATCAGAGTTTGACAAAATACACTCCTTATTTGTAGTTTGCCAACTAAAAGTTTCCATCTGTGCTACTGTTTTGCAGCACAGGATGACTTTTTGGCCATCCATATATAATATATTTTGGTCTATTTGCAAATAAATGCTGCTTTTATTGGCTTGTGGAGGCAATCTAAAACTGACATTCCCTCAAATCTTTGTGTGCTGCTACAATTCTACATGCTACTGTTAAGCTTAAAATGGAAAACACAACGTGAATTTCTGCTGTCATTTTTAACAGGGCGTACAAGTCCTGCGGTCCTGGAGGGCCGCCTCATGTCAAAATCGTCGTCGAATGGGACAAGGAGACGAAAGACTAGTAAGTGGGAGACTCAGACGCTTCATTAAGCTCAGGGCAGATGTGCGAGGGGTTGCGTCTCCTCTCAGATCTATGTGTTTTAACGCGAGTACACACAGCGACTGTCTTTTGAAGTTCTGCGTGATCCCTCTGTGACTTGTACCGTGTCACGCCCACAGTCTGTTCAAAAGAACGGAGGATGAATACATCCCAGATGCTGAAAGTGTGCGTCAAGTGAAGGAGCAGCATCTGCAGCCTCAGACCTGCTCCCTCGCACAGTGCTTTCAACTCTACACCAAAGAGGAACAGGTAGGCTGCTGCTGATATCATGCAGGCTGCAGAAGTGATGGAAATATTACTGATACTGAATATTTGGGTTATATTATTATTCTTTGCTGCATGCTGGACTTCATTTGCAGTTTCAGCCCATCTTTCTAATACAGGAGAATATTGAAAAAGTTAATTGGAAGTGAGTGAGGTAGCATGGAGGGCAAAATTGAGAGAGATGTGTTCTTGAATCCCATTTTCATCCAATCGATGTCAGAGGTGAAGCCAGTGCACCAAAATCTATAAATACTGATAAATTAGCATCAGTTGAAATATCCAAATATTTTTAAAAATGACCAACAATATGAAAGTAGAGAGAAAACACACTTGCTTTGTGATGATGACATTTGTTCACATTCTTTTCAGCTCGCCCCTGATGATGCGTGGCGATGTCCACACTGTAAGCAGCTGCAGCAGGGCAGCATCAAGCTCAGCCTGTGGACTCTGCCAGACATCCTCATACTTCACCTGAAACGCTTCAGACAGGTACTGATGTAGATGAAACAGAGATGATATCTTTCACTTTTAGATTTTGATGTTTCAAATAAAAAGCACCATAAATGTATTTGCAACTTCAGGATGGCGATCGGCGAATGAAGATGCAGAACATGGTGAAGTTCCCGCTCACAGGCATGGACATGGCACCCCATATGGTAAAGAGGAGCCAGAGCAGCTGGAGTCTCCCCTCCCACTGGTCACCGTGGAGACGGCCTTACGGGATGGGTCGCGATCCGGAGGACTACCTGTACGACCTGTATGCAGTGTGTAACCATCATGGGACCATGCAGGGAGGGCACTACACAGGTAACAGAGCTCGATACACCACCACCGGGGATGGATTTTCTTTTCATAAAAGCTCTCCAGGATGTTTCTAATGATTTATTGCATTGTGCCTTGCAGCTCACTGTAAGAACTCCATCGATGGACAGTGGTACTGCTTTGATGACAGCGACGTTCATCCCATATCTGAAGACGACGTGTGCAAGCAGACTGGTTACATCTTGTTCTATCAGAGACGTGCAACCATCCCATCTTGGTCTGCCAACAGCTCTGTGGGAGGTAATTTGCATCAATATTTGTGCAGTCGCTTAAGTGACTGTGTGGAATAAGCTGTACGTGTTTAACCACTGTCTGTTTGGCTCTTCAGGCTCCACCAGTTCCTCTTTGTGTGAGCACTGGATTAGTCGGCTGATGGGAAGCCGTCCGCCCAGCCAGGCCTCGTCTGGGTCCTCCAGACGTACCTCTCTGGCTTCCCTCTCTGAATCTGCTGAGTTTGCTGGTGAACGGAGCGAGGACGATGGTGAAGAACACTCATTCAAAAACTCACATTTTCTTTGTTGTTTCTCAGGGGGTACACATGAACACATTCCTGATGAATCTAACACTGAATCGTATCTTACTCTCGTGCAGGTTTATCATCGCGACCTGCAGTCAGAGGGATGCAAAGGCAAACATTCTCCTCAAGATCTTCCATCGCCAGCCCACTGGTGCTGAGTGAAAACGGCACTAAACCATCCTGGTCCCATTCTGCTAAGCTCCAGCTCCGTTCCAACTCTCCCTCTCGCTTCTCTCTGGAGTCCCACTCCTCCTCCCCGACACTGGAGAGGATAGGAGAAGTGGTTGATAGCCAGCTGCCAGCTTCGTGCTTCACCGGATCACCTAAACCAGACAAGCTGTCAGGGGGCAAGTCAGGCCTTGCTGCTGTGGATGCTAGTGCAGGCACTAAGAGGCTCATAGAGCAGGTGCACTCCAAAGCAGTGGCCCAGGCTGAGCAGAGGAACTCCACCCAGACAGGGGATAACAACAACGCAGTCGCTGCTGCCGAACAGGTCAGTCCTCGACACAGTGGCGCTGCAAAGGAGCTGAAACAAAGAAATGGAGCTGCAGACAGCGCTGGTGCTAAAAGGACCTCAGCCAAGACCGGGATAGAGAGTGAAAGGAGTCCCAAGAAGCGTCCTGCCACCTCCTCGACATCATCCAGCTCTCTGTCTCCTGCATCTCCTGCCATCGACAAGTCTCCGTCTCGAACACAGGCCAAGAGTCCAAACCCCAAGGACAAAAGCGATGGACCGGCCAAAGCTAGCAAGAGTGGTTCCTCAAGAACAGCAACTCCCTCCAAGAAAGGATCATCCCAAACCCCGGAGGTGTTACGTCCCGACTCTGCCCAGCAGAGGAAGAGTGGTTCTCCAGCATCACAGAGCTCACACCCTCCGAGGAGGACGTCACCCAGAGGGGGAGGTGAGAAAAGCTCGGCCTCAGCAAGGACTAGAGCAGCAGACAGGAGCACTAGTCGTGACTCCTCACGGACCAGTGCAGTGCCAGAGAGGAAAGTTTCTCATGGAGGTCCTGCCTCCAGGCAGAGTGCTGCTAGTAGGGCAGAGAGCAGGCCGGGCAGGGCTGGTGAGGACAGAGCAGCTGGCCGGAGCTCAAGTAGTAGCTCCTCCATGGCTAGTCTCAGAACCTCAAGTGTAGGTGCTTCCTCTGCGAGCGCAGCTCCACCTTCAAGGGGACCTCGAAGGAACAGTAAGACAGAGGACAAAGGCTTGTCCTTCTTTAAAACTGCTCTGAGGCCCAAAGAAGCCCGCAAACCAAGCGATAGTGGGAAATCAGGGGCGGGAGAATCTAAAGGAAGTCCAGAGGACGGTGGTGGGGATGCAGCTCGAGAAGGAAGCTCACACGGAGCGAGTAAAAAAGCCCAAAATGCGGCTTCAGAGGCCCAGACTAACGCGACAGCAGCCAAAGAGAAGGAATCATCTAAAACATCAGCCGCAGCTAAACACTCACTGCTGCCCTCCACAAAGTCAAAGCTCTCTGGAGCAGAAACCACCTCCCAGTCTTCTGCCAGTGCAAAGGACCCTTCAAAGAAAGAGCCTGCTAAAAAGACAATACAGTCCAGGAAGATCCCCATCAACTCCTCACAAACTAGCCAGAGATCCAAGTGACGTTAATTTGAGGGCCTGATCAGAATCTCTCAAGTGCAGCTCAGAGGTGTTTTAACCATCAAACTAGACCAAGCGTCTGTCAAACAACTTTAAAGCACCTGTAGCTCTTCAGTGGTCACTGAATACCAGCTGCCATACCGGACACTTACTGTCCACATTGTTAAATAGTTATTTAGGAATGGATTTTAACAAAGCACTTTGTATGGATTGCATTGATTTTGAGGAATATTATACTGTATTGTAAATACGCATGGACATGTATTGAAATTATTGCCTTGTTCTGTCTGTAGCATTGTTGGGAGAAGAATGTCTTAGCAGGAAGGTGAAAATAAAAGTCACTTTGCACAAGAAGGAAAGCAGATATAATGGTGGAAGGAAACTCAAACATGGACTACTCAGTCACCAAAGGAAGTTTACTGGCAGTTTTTAAACATGCTGATGCAGTGAAACACTGAATTATTTTCAAAAGTCTTTATGTACAGCTCTCCTTCCATAATGAGAGCCATATGTCAACAACAAACATCAGTGCCTCAGATAATCATAGAGAAGTATTTAATCTAAATTGTATAACTGCAGGTGTTGGTAAATTTGTAATTCAATTTTAATATTTATTAAGCACTGAAAATGTAATTTCAAGTAAGAAAAAAAAACAAAAAAACAAACACACACAATTAAGCCTATTTAACCTGAACTGCTGTTTACATATGCTCTTTGGTGTGATAATTCTGCAACAGCCTTTAAGAAGTATTTTTGTTTTTTTTGTCCAGCCAAAACAGTCGAGAGGCTAAAGAGGAGGAGGAATGAAGCATGTGTTGTTGGTGTGAAACGTCTGGAGATCTCGGATTGTTCTCAGTGTTTGTGTTTTGTTTTTGATTTACCAATAATAACCTGTTACCCCTCAGACATACCTCCTCACCCACCTCTGCCCTCCAGCTGCTGATGCCAACACTTTTACCGCGATTCCTCATGGGGGGGGGATATCGGCCTCCTCAGACTGCCAGACATCTCCAAAACATTCCTCTCTGATGAACACAGGGTTTAATGTATTAAAAAAAAAAAAAGCAAGAAAAAAAAAAGCCACACAACAACCACACGACACATTCAAAGACAGCTCGGATGCCTTTTCGTTCCAAACCACACGTGTACATAGAGCATTATGGTGCGTTTGAGTCCGCCCCGTCCTCACGCTTGTGCACATCTTTAGCTTGCATTACAGAGTCCACTGAAAAGAAAAAAAGACACTGACATAGACTGACCGTTCTTGAAGTATATGACAGTTGTTGCATGATAAATTGCTTATGCATGCACTTAACTATGCAAGCGGATTCTTGCTGATGCCCACACTGAGTATGTAGAGAAGCTACTCTTGGATGTGTTATTTATTTCTAACTGTATATTTTTCCAAAATGCCAGCATCAGAGAGCATGTGGAGGCATCCTTTATTAAAGCTTTGTTTGCACATTTCTTCAAAGTAATAGACATTTTTGTATGAATGATAAGTATTGCTCATTTACCCTCTCTCCAAGTAAATCAGCTCACTTGCAAATTCATGTTTTCTGTATTGTATTCATTTTCGTCTCCCTCACGGTTTTTTAACAGTTTTCAACGAAACATTGATGCAGTTTACAACTTGTGGTGTAATATAGTTTTTTTTGTTACCAGATCTACTTCGAGAGCTGGGATTTTATTATTAGTCCAAAGACCCAATGACAGGCTTGTTGTCTGGTTCTGGATACGCATTTTGACGGGCCGGGAGCAAATGGAGACAAGACTCAGTTTGTGTAACCACGCTGTCTTCTGCTTTTGTCTGAAGATCCACGAAAAATAATAATAATGATGTGCAATATGTATATAATGATTTGTTTTTAATTCAACTCTTGTATGAACATGTCTCAGATAACAACTGATGAGACAGATGAGCTGTAAACAATTTTTTTTCACTGTGAACCACTGCACTGGGAGGCATCGTTAACTAATTATGTACCCAAGACAAATTTATCAGTGGTGGTTATAATAATAATAATATTAATGATAATAACAGTGTACTGTGGATTTACTGAATGTCATGTTCAAGGAGGAGTTTTTATCACTAGTCCAAGCAGCTTGACCGTAAACTGCTTTCTGGCTCATGTGGTGCGGAATAAATCGAAACAAATATTATCTTCAGTGCCTGGTGGATACAGCGTATTACACCCAACACATGCAGTATAGAAACCGACTTATGTACCAACGCTTAAGTGAACCCTTGCGGTGTTGACGACATGTATAAATATAGCGAGGACTTATTCATTTGCACAAATGCATGAGAGTGATTGAACGTTTTTTTTTTTTCATTTTTCCATTTCTAATCTGTGATGTCATCCTTGAAATGTACTGTGTTCATCTTTTTTTTTTCTTTTTTTTTGAGGGGTAGCAGTGGCATTGATTTAGCAATGCGATACAAATAAAAAAAAATTCTGGCATTAAATAAGCTTTTGTTGACGTGCAGCTTTGGGTGGTTTGTTTTACAGTGTTTGCTTGTGGGACAGTTTATTTTTTGAACACTTCTCGTCACCTCCACTTGGTGGTGCTCAGCGTTTGCTTGAAAAAATCTCAGCGGACCCAAATATAATGAGTTAAGGAAATAAAGCAACACTCGACGGGAATTTGTTCCTGACAAATGCCCTTCAATTTGAACTTGTGGGATTATTAAGATATATAATGGTGTCAAATCTAATGCTGTCAGTGAGGGAGATGATATGTTATTAAACTACAGCACCATCATTTATTTAGAGCTGATTCAATTGTGCTTTTATTAGTTTGGCCCAAGGCTGGGCATATTAAGAGATAATGTTGCCTCTTTGTCTTTCTGTTCTTGTAATTTTGTATAACAGTCATCAGTTTGGGGAATTGCATTTTCACCCTCTCACTTCTCACCTCCTGAGCAGTCGGGAAAGTGATGAAACTTTAAAAATTGCCTGTGGTGTGATGGGGTTGCAACATGCAGCAGGGAGGTTGTATATCTTTGGAGAAAAGAGCGTTTTGTTTAGCATTCTACGAAGGGAAAAAAAAGATATCAGGTTCTTCATTTAATATGCACGTATGAATGTAATTAGAAAATTCACAGACTGCAGCCCAGCACAGGATCATTCTGTAAAGGAGCCAGACTCCTCTAGTGCTGAAATCAATAATCATTTGCCAATTGTATCAGTTCCAAGAGAGCATCATTAGCAAGACCTCAGTGGAGAATTCAGCAACTTTTATCAGGATTTAACACCAAAACTGTGACATTCAACCTCTTGACTCCTGAACATAACGCGCCTGACTCGCCGAATCAGTTTACATGTTTTGCTTTTGCTACATTAATGTGCTTGATGCATGGTAGAAAGGCAATCTAATTGTATTGATCAATCCAATCTTGGAATCTCCCGGGGCCAAATTCAATCCTTAATGCTGCTGCTAAGTCTCCATTTTGAGACACTCTGTCCCTTGATAGAAACGGACGATGAGCAGGATCTTCATGATTAGCTTTCACTTTTTTTTCGCTGCTTGCTGCTTGGATGGGTCGATGCATCGACTGCCGTGTTGAAGGTGACATGCAGAGTGCAGCCGCAGTATCATAAACACCTCTAAAAATTTAGGACTACAATATAATCCAGTGTTGCAGCTCTGCAACACTGTGAACCTCATAATTATGTGTGTGCGCGCTGTTAACTTAATCCTGTGGCATCGTTTCTGCAGCTAGTGTTTGTGGTAATGTTGTGTGACACTGCTTTACATTAAAATTCATAACAGAGTGCGATGCTATAACGCATTATATCTCATAAAACCTTGCACTTGCAGGATATATAATATACTTTTTTATACTCTAACACAATCTCATGCACCATAGCGTTATTTAGTAGGATTGTGTTGTTTTGTATTGCATTAGGAGGACACTGTGTCCAATATCCATACAGGATTTGAAAGAATCTAAAGCCTTAAGATTTTGATTTTTTGTTTCACACTGATAGAAAAAAAAAATGCAGGAAAGGTGTTAGAATATGGCAGAGGAATGGAAACCTTCCAAACATCAGGTGCTAGCAGCTAAAGTGAACACCTCTCAAGTCAGATGTGTAGATATTAATACATCAGAATGCTCTTCATAGAACAAAGAATTGTTAGTTTTTCAGTTCTGACATGGTTGCTTTTACCCGGTTTCATTCAAGAATATTTATAAAATTACAAGTAGAATTTAATTTATCATTCAAAAACGTACATCTCATGTTTGTACTCCCTTCATGAACAAAATGTTCCACCTTTGCTCAGCTATACATGCAGACGTCTTGCTGCTAGAGCCCTGCTCGATGTGGAGCGACAACCCAGCACCGATTGTTTGTTCTAAAAATGTTCTGCAAAGTTTGAGTTGCAGCAGGAAATTTGTTCTTCGTGAAGGATGGATGACAATCTCTACAGACTAATGTGTGGTGAGAACATTAGACTATTATGCCGTAGCATTCTTAAAAAGATTGAGAATCTCTTTTCGTTTAATTATGTACGAATGTGTGACATCGTGCTCATGCATTATAGAAGAACATTTTATGTTCCTCAGACAACAACCCAAAACATTTTCACAACATTGCAGGTAAAATGTTGCACCTTTGTTACAGACATCCTCCAGTAAAAAAAACCTAAGTTTTTACCCTAGAAACATGTTCACATATTGTGTTTCATATGCCAACAACATAAATATTCAGCTCTATAAAATCTGTTTAACATGTAACAAACCTACGGCCAGGCTCACAGTGCAGGGTTTTTTAAATCCTAACTGATTTTGAAATAGAGTTGCATCACACACATGCATAAAGAGAAACATCACAACTATTCTTCCCTCCAAACTAGACGTGCACAAACTGCCAAACTTGATAGTTCATTGCAAACTACAGGATTTTATTATGAAATCTGGTACCAGAGGGAGCAGTGGGGGATCAGTGCCACCTTATGTGATCTCGTGGGGAAACAGATGTAAACAACATGGAGGC